ACTAAGTTTCCCCTTTTTACCAAACCTCATAACCCCCTTCATGGGTGAAACTTTGAGATATACCCAATCATCTACCTCGAACTCTAACGCCGTTCTCCTAACATCAGTGTAGGATTTCTGACGACTCTGTGTCATTTTCAACCTTTCTTGAATCACTTTCACCTTCACCATAGCTTGGTGAATTAAATTTGGTCCTATCAACCCAGCTTCACCAACTTCAAACCATCTAATTGTAGATCTGCATCTTCTCCCATATAGAGATTCATAAGGAGCCATTTGTATGCTAGAGTGGTAACTGTTGTTGTAAGCAAACTCAATGAGAGGTAGGTGATGGTCCCAATTCCCCTTGAAATCAATCACACAAGCCCTCAACATATCTTCTAAAGTTTGAATAGTGCGCTCTGCTTGCCCATCAGTCTGAGGATGAAAGGCAGTACTTAAGTTCACCTTTGAACCCAAGAATTTTTGGAATGACTTCCAAAATTGTGCACCCCTATATGATATAATCAAAACAGGGACTCCATAAAGTCTTACCACCTCCTGAATATATAACCTAGCATAATCCTCTGCTGAATGGGTAGTCTTTACCGGCAAAAAATGGGTTGATTTTGTCATTCTGTTGACAATCACCCAAATAGAATCATGTTGTCTGCGAAACCTTGGTAAACCTGTGATAAAATCCATATTGATAATCTCCCACTTCCATTTCGGAAGTTCTATATTCTAAGCCAAACCATCGGGCCTTTGGTGCTCTACTTTCACTTGTTGGCAATTTGGACACTTAGCGACAAATTTTGCAATGCCCTTCTTCATGCTATTCCACCAATAAACCTCTCTCAAGTCATGATACATCTTTGTGGAACCCGGATGAATGGAATATCTAGTGATATGGGCTTCCTCCATGATCCTTTCTTGGAGTCTATCCACCATAGGTACACACAATTTACCTTGATATATCAATACACCATCTCCCTCTTATTCAAAAGCTAATACTTTTTGCTTATGAACATTTGCCTTCAATTCAGGCAAAATGGGATCTTAGTCTTGCTTTTCTTTCACTTTTGACACTAATGAAG